CCTATAGTTTAGCAGAGACAATTAAAAAGTTTTCAACAATTTAAATAGAACCAAATGTAATGTAATGTGTTTATTTGACCATTAAACAGATTTCGATCACAAACCACAGCACATTCTGGCTATATCATTTTTAGTTCCTGTTGATATTTTTTATTGGCTGTGCGAAATGGTCCATTTCTCCTAGTGGACGTCAAAGTTCCCACTTCCTGCAAACAGAAGCAAAATAAACGTTGTTTTGGTTTACATCGTTATATCTATAGCAGCCTGTCACAATTAACAGTTTTCTCCTAAAACGTAAGGGAACATGTTGTGGTGTAAAGTGGACCAACAGCGCCCCCTGCTGCCGTATACTTGCATAACAACAATGTTTATTTCACAGCCATGCAGTGGCGTAAATAGCAGAGACTACAGTTGCTTAGCGGCCCCGTCACTGACTCTTGGTAGGCTCCCTATGCAATCGTGGACTAGGACGTCTCTTTGCAGATGTAATGGTGCGAAAAATTTCTCTTAAACCCACCTGATCCTGAAGTGACTGACCTTATTTATTATGGAGGACAAACTCTGCCATATTTAAAAATGAATACAGAAATACATAAATGCTCCAAAAATAAATAAACATACAATAATTGCCCCTCAAAAATACAATAAATAAATGTTGGTAGAAATTAAATTATACAGTGAGACATAAATGTATATATCTCTTTTAATTAGCTTATTTCTTTTTTGCATTTGTAATAATTACCTTATTTATTTATTGTCCATTATAATCTTCAACTTTATTTATTTATTATTTATTTTTTAAGTATTTATGTGCATGTGATAATATTTTTGTCTGTGTTATTCTTTCTTTGTATTTTTTTTTACCCTATTTATTTCTTCCATGCTATTTATTTCTGCCTGTTGTATTTACATTTCTGCCTCATTATGCAAATGAGGCAGAGGTGTGTCTTAGAGGGTCAACTTCTGCCCTATCCATGTCTAGTGAAGAATGATGAAATGGTGAAGTCTGTATTTATGAGGCAAATGTTAGGTCGGTTGTCTACGGCGGCAGGGGGGAGGGAATGGGGTGTTGTACTTCACATGGGGTCCACCCAGATAATGTTGTTTACGGGCCTATTGTTGTGTCTTTACGCCATTGCAGCCATGCCGCCGCCTTTACCCACCGCGGTCGGCGTCCTCTCTCTGGCCGGGAGAGCGTTCCTTTGGAGGGACAAATTAGCTCCAAGGTGAAGGGAGACAAGCGGAAGTTGGGCAGTCTGTTAAGCCAATATAGAACAGAGGTGTAGCCAGAACATTTTTATAAGTTTGGCCAGGTAATACCCAATGTACACTGAGGGGTGGCCGAAAGTGGAGAGGCACCAGAACTTCATGTTCAATCTACACTGTTCCAACAGGAAAATGAATGAGCACGTCCATATATTATAATTAAAGACAAACTATACTTTCCTACAGCCTTTTGCTAATAAAAAAAAAATTAAATATCCGTGCTTTCCAGATAAAAGGTATGCTGGATAAAAATCTTTCAGGTCTGACTTCTGCGGCAAACATCTTTTCTATTGTCATACTTACCTACTGTCATCAATAATCCCTCTGCATCCATCCATCCATCCATCCATCCATCCATCCATCCATCCATCCATCCATCCATCCATCCATCCATCCATCCATCCATCCATCCATCCATCCATCTTCTTCCGTTTATCCGGGGTCGTCGCGGGGGTAGCAGCTTCAGTAGGAAGACCCAGACTTCCCTCGCCCCAGCCACTTGGTCAAGTTCCTACAAGGGAATCCCAAGGCATTCCCAGGCCAGTCATTGAGAGATACTGACGGGACGAGGAGGAATGGGGCTGTATCATCTAGATCCCACCCCTACACTGAACTATAATAACAGATTTTCTAAATTACATTTTTGCAGAAAAAAAATAAAATTATACTAATAAGAATTTATTTTTTATACCTAGAAAAGTTTACACATTCTAAATGGTCATTTTCATATTTATCAGCTTGACTGAATTTATGACATCTGAGATAAATTTCTTCATAGTCAAAATAATTAAAATAATGACCTGTAAAAAAATAAATAAATGCCATTCAAGCATAATGGCAATCTTTACAGTCACCTCCACAAATGCGAACCCACTCCTTTAAAATTATAAATAGCAATAAGGCAAGGAAAACAGAAAGATTTAGCCTTTCAGTTCACAGGTGATAATAAATAACATATATAGATAATAAATTACATTGATGTCAGCAAATCCCTGGAATTATTACTCACTGAACCTTTAACATTTTCGTCAACAAAAATACGCTCACTCAGATCCATTTTTAACACAAAATTTCAAGTATTATAATACATTTTGATTTAATTAGCACACTGTCATGAAGTGGGATGGTGTGCTCAGGGAGTAGTTAAGTAATAGCTTTCTATCTGACCCAACTTTAAACGTCTAAATATTCCCTGCCCTGTCAGCTCCCTTTGTTTTTGTGATGCTGTTTGTTCAAAAATATTGTGAAGCAACCTTCTGAAGCTTTTAACAGGTGTAATAACACAAACGGCAACTCTTTTTAGGTGACTATTAAAGACAGCTGGACGTAAAGCATTTTCTTTAGGGGTGTCGGGTAATAACCCGCTTTATGTCAATTTATCACATAAAATCTCAATAAACTAATTAAATATAGAAGTTTGTAAGTGTAAGGTCATAGAATTGTGGCTTATGTGTTTGACTTTGGAATGGCACTGCATGCACAGCCTTTGCAGCTTCAACCATAACGTTACATCACCATACACTACTGCTACAACACCCAGAAGTTCTCTGTTATCCCACTTTCTTTGCGCTTACTATTAATTGAGCGGAAGTTATACTTTCTTCCAGAGAAAGTATCCAAATTTTTACAAAGTCTCTTCAATAGAGTCTCCTCCTGGACCTAAAAATATGATCAAGTTTATTTTGTAAACATGTAAAAGAAAATCTATATATTACGCTGTGTAAGTCCAAAAATAAACATTTAGGGCTTTTTTATGCAAGAATTTCGCTTTGTTTAACTCAAATATCTGCCGCGTTGGTAACAATTTTACTAAATAAAAAAAAGAGTCCCAACATTTCCTTATCCTGAAGATTTTTCATGAGGACCATTTTCCTTAAAACTATTAAGGTTTTTGCCAATAGCTAAGAACTGACAATATTTTCCTAAGGACTGACAAATTTTTCCTGAGAACTGATGAGGTCCTAAAATGTACATCATACGTCAGGATGACAGCAGAACCCCTTTACATCTGATGCTGAATTTCAAACCTTCACTTAGGCTACCATTTGCCCCTAAAGGGTCTGGCAGATGTTTTGTTATTGTTGCTGTTTGTTTTTATTTTTCTGCTTGCCTTCAGCTAGGTCTTTTTCCCAGGGCTGCCAAATTTTCACCAAACCTTGAGGGGAGATCTTGAAATAATTTGGTCAGGAAACCTGTCAGGGTGAGATGAGGACAGGTGCAGCAATAGGTTGGAGGTTTTCAGAGGATTTAACTGAAACTACCGGTAAGTGGAAACATTTGGAATTTTTATAGAAGAGTACATTTTATTGAGTAACAATAAGTGATCTGTAGTTATGTGGAACATTTTACTCACAATATACATTATTTTCTACATTCTGGTGATTTTTAGAGAATTGAAGTAAAGCAGAATGGGCCTTACTAAAATACTTGCACCTTAAATATACTTTAAACTAAGAATTTCACAACTTTGTTCAATAATTATTCTCTGCAGTTCAAGTAAATTAAACAATGGGGAACTAATAAGCTATCACTGGATTACTGGCACTGATACAGGAACCAGTGCAATTGAAACCTATGCAAATTTTACTGTGTATGAATATTTGGTAATAGGCTAAGGATTCAAAAGCTTAATTCGTATGTTATTAGTTTTTCTTACAATTGACAAAACGACTAAACAATTCAGTTTTTTCTAGGAGGCTGAAGATTTTATAAAAACTCACCATGACAGGAGACAGCACTTCTCTGGATGTTTCATTTGGAAGGTGTGATGGAAATTATGTTTTCAAACATATTCAATGGACCAACATAAATATAAATGAATAAGATGAGTAATAATAACAGAACATCCCTGTGGTTTCTCCTCTATGAATCCAGGATAACTGAGCTGTTCTGCACATCCTCTCTGGATGCAGTTGGTCTTTTCTTGGGTGGCTGATCTTTTGAAAAATAAAATTCAATGCTTCTTTTTCTTTTTGTGGAGCTCCTGTGGGTTTGAGAGGCAAAGCTGGAAGCTTCCAGAATTACAATATTTGTGTTGGTTTAATTACTCCTAAATGCCTATGGGAGATTATTAAACTAGACAGAGAAATAATTATTTAACTTGTGAGCAAAACATGGACTAAAACTGGGACTAAAAAAAGCACCAGGTAAAGAGAAAACAAACCATTGGATGTGATCCTTTTTAGTGTGAGAAATTGGGAATATGAAGTGAAAATTGTGTGAAGACACTGAAAGAGTTGAGTCTCACTCCCAATGGGTGAGAGTTGACAGCCCTGTGTTCCTGCTGCCATTGTTTTTACCATCACAAGACCCATGGTACATTGACTGATGTAAATCAAGGTCCATTTCTGGAAAAGCTTTTTCATTTTCAAATTTTACATTTCAAATTGAATTTTGGTATGTATTTGCTGGGGTAATTTTTAAAAAATAAATCCCAGATGTCTTTTTCTTTTTCATTTTAATTAAGTGAAAGGACGAGCAGTCTTGAAGAATAAAATGAAAATGCTAACAGGATGATTGATTGCTAATTTCATCTTTGAGTCAAACAATGCAGCCACATTCTTAAGATGAAAAAGCATTTCGGGAAATGCTTTTTCATTTGAAATGTGGTAACGATTCGCTTCCATACACTCCAGCATTTTCCAAGAATATATAAAAGATAAAAGAAAAAAAAATGCTTGTTCAACGTGTGCTTTTGGCGCCATCTAGCGGTGATTTTTCTAAGTTCTCGCGACATCTCACCACCATCAACGAGATGAGCCATGGCAATAGAAAACAAACCAGAGGAGGAATTTGACACAGTTTTCAGTCTAAATGACTCCCTGGAGCTCTGCTCCCATTCAGAGCATGACTGCAGAAAGGCTCGCATCTTCAAGATAATAGTCATAGGGGACTCAAACGTGGGGAAAACGTGCTTAACTTACCGCTTCTGCGGAGGCACTTTCCTGAAAAACCCAGAGGCAACTATCGGGGTGGATTTCAGGGAGAGGACGGTGGAGCTGGACGGAGAGAAGATCAAGGTGAGGTGGCTAAATATCCTCACTTACAGCCTCTGAGATATGCATGGACCGCTCTTTGTGTTGTTTTTACCCTAAAACTAGATTAGCAGCAGTCTGAAACTAATTTATTGATTTAATTAAAACATAATGGCCTACAGCGTGTCATATTTTAGTTTAAGTTAGGGGTTTATTTTTCGAAAGCTTGCTAAAGTTCAAAATCAGACTTATTTATTTAACACTTATATATTCAATTCAGTTTATTTATATAGCTCCAATTCACAACACAAGTCATCTCAAGGCACTTTATAGTTTAACCAGATCATCCAGTCAAATTGATTCAAAGTTTTCTATCTAGGGAAAAACAGTTGATTGCATTGACTCATTGACTCAAAGGCAATCCCTCACACTAAGCATGCTTGTAGTGACAGTGGAGAGGAAAAACTCCCTTTTAACAGGAAGAAACCTCCAGCAGAACCAGGCTCAGTGTGAGCAGCCATCTACCGAGGCCGACTGGGGTTCAAGGAGACAGAAGCAGAGATACAAAAAGCAGCTGTAAAAGGCGGCCCCGTCCAGGAAACACACAGCCAGGCAGACGAGCTCTGAGCCAGCTCCCATGTCAGAGTATGAGGAGAGCACATCCAGCCAGTCACGGTCAGAGAAACAGGACTACACTGGAAAACAGGCGATCTCCAGCATCTATAAACAAGGGTGTTGATGGAAGCAGCACAGGTGATATTTCTCTCCAGGATGGTATCACAGCATATTAGATCCTATAAGCTGAAATGCAGAGTTGCACCATCTCGAGACAAAGCAGAGATATCTTAATCCTTAGTGACAGATTGACACAAAGCAGCTTTTGGGATATATAGAATAAAGTATTTGCTATCTATGTTCAGACCTCAATCCCTGGACAAGAATATGTAGGTTTCGCCAGTGATCCTCCATTGGATTAAGGTTTGAACTTGGACTAGACCATTCCAATAAGATGGAAAAGTTCCTTCCCACACATTTACCTCTAGGATAAGCGTATGTTTTTGTTAAGTCCATCTTCCAAGTCAGCTCTGACCAGTTTCCCAGTCTGCGCTGTAACACAGAGCATTCCCATATCATGACTCTACCTCTACCAAGTCTCACACTTGGGATGGTGCTTTCAGTATGATGAATAGCAGAGGTCGGCAACCTAAACTGTAAGAGCCATATTGGACCAAAAAAAAAAACAATCTGACTGGAGATGCAAAAATTTACATGTCTTCTATAAGCCTTGTATGAGAACATAGGCTCTAAATGTATTAGCTCAATATAAAAAAGGACTATGTGGGCTTAAATATATAATAAGGATTCATGATTAAAGGTTTATCCTGGAGCAAATGTCATGTCATTTGACTATTTTGCTGTACAATATGGGAGTGTTGGCCTAGTGGTTGCAGCAGTGCTCTTAGAAAACTGCAATTACCCGGTTTGATCCCCATCACCCCCACTCTGGGTCTCTGAGCAAGACCCTTAACCCTACACTGCTCCCTGGGCGCAACACAATGGCAGCCCACTGCTCCCCAAGGGGATGGGTTAAATGCAGAGAGCTAATTTCCCCATTGTGGGAAAATAAGGGGATCTAGTGCTTCAAATGTAAATGTCATAACAATAATAATGTATTAGATTTTGCTGCAATGATAAAATCATAGTAATAAAATAAAGAAATCACATATGGGGTGAGGATTTTGGGGGAAAATAAGGGAGTAAAATTCACATACCTAAGTCAGAGCACTCCCTGTTTGATCTGTAAACAGTTTTCCATGCTTGTAACAAAAACAGCAGCAGTAGTGGAGTTTAGAGACACAATCCACAACTTAAATCTATCTTTGCTAATTTATCCAGAAGAACTGCAATTTAATTTTTTCTCTCACTCCCAACTTGGTGGTCTGCTGCAAATTTAGCAGGCATTACTTGGACATGTTTTCCAAATTACTCTTTTTATTATTTGACAACTTCTCATTACAAAGCAAACATACAGGCAATACTTACAATTTTGTTGTTCTTTTTCCTCAGACTTATCAAGTTCTTTGTGCCAAACAGCAATGAATCTGCTTTTGCTTCTTTTCCAGTTGCAGATTTGGGACACGGCAGGTCAGGAGCGTTTCAGAAAGAGCATGGTGGAACACTACTACCGCAGCGTCCATGCCGTCATCTTTGTGTATGACGTCACCAATCTGCCCTCCTTCCAAAGCATTCCTGAGTGGATTGAGGAGTGCAGCAGACACTCTGTGGGGCCACTGGTGCCACGCATCATAGTGGGAAACAAGTGTGACCTGAGGGAGCTTCGGGAGGTGCCCGCCTCTGCTGCTCACTGTCTTGCAGACAGCTACAACTTCCCCCTTTTTGAGACCTCGGCCAAAGACCCCGCTGAGAAGGAGCACGTTGATGCCATCTTTTTAACTTTAGCTTATCGGCTGAAGAGCCACAAACCTCTGAGACTAAAGCAGCTGAATGAGAGCTGTGTCACAGAGCTGAGGGATCAGAGAGAACAGGAAATTACATCTTGTCAGTGCTAAGGTCAACTGTGGACTCATAAACTGGACAAAGGCTGCAGCCGCCATTAAAACATCTATTTCAAACCAATTTTGTCACTTAGTTCCTGAGCAGCAATCAAAAATTAAAAACTTTATCTGATGACCCAAAAAAAAAACAAAATCTGATTTTTACGTAGAGCTTAGGGTCATTACAGCAATGACCTACAAGTTTCAGCAAGGTCGAACCAATATTTCTTCAAAATGCATGAGCGAATCTGAAGATGTGTCAAGAATTTGCTATTTTGAAGATAATGGTCAATGAAATTAAATGTCAAAATCGTTCTCTGGAAGAATATTGCTCCGTGATCCAATTACATTTCACACTGCTTGACAAAAAACATGTAGAAAAAATAACAAGAAATGTTGAAAGGCAGATCCAATGACAATGAAACTGTGAGTTAGTTACAATAAGTATTACAAAACAACTTAAAAAAAAAAAACTTGCTGGTTTTGATTTGTGTTTATTTTCTGTTTGTTTTCATTGCAAACACAGGTCTATGATACTGATATAATCAAAAAGAAGAAAAAAAGGTGCTAAAATGTTGATACTTTTTGGAGAAAATATTAATTATTAACTCTGACCTGCATGTCAAAAAATAAGCCTCAAGGTCCTTGCAATTAACATTAAAACATATCAAACCTGACTGGTCTGTTGGATGTTTACCATTAAGAGAAGCGTAATTCAATGAAATGAGCCTATGTTATGTTTTATTTATTAAGTTGTTTTTTTTTACGTAGCTAGGTCTGTAAGTTGAGTTGTGCATTTCTACCAATGGGGAATATAAGCAGGAATGATCATAATTAAATGAATGTGCATCTATTCGGATGAGTAAATCTACAGATGATACCACAGCAGTGGGACGAGTTTGTGGAACTGGAGGTCAAACAGAGAATCAGAACAAAGGAAACAATCTAGTTGAGTTTTTGACCCGAAGGCAAAGCTTTTACATGGGCACCGTTCCGGGAGAGACAGTGGATGGCGTTTAATTCATCAGATCTCACATGATCACTTCAATTGCTTGAAAAACATCACTGGTATTGTGGAACGGGCCATTTTTTTTTAGTCTTTTCAAACCTGGATTAAGTTTTTTTTTGCTGCTTCTAGTGCTTTAAATATTTACCAATCATATATAAAAATAAATATACCAGATATGTTATGTTTAGTCACTAAGATTGATGATACATCACATTAAAATATATATATTTTTTGCATATGAGCTTGAAGAAGAGTTAGATATGTTTGTGTGTGGAGGATTTATTCATGCACATCATGAACCTTTAGCTACATCATGGCTGAGAAAAGAAGGTTAAAATGCCCCCAGAATTTTGGATAATGCTAACAGTTCAATGTTATTTCATTTTTATATAAAAAAAATTCTTTGTAAAGACCCATTAGGGCTATTAAATAGACCTGCGGTTTTAAGCTGTCCACTGCATCTCAATATTTGACCTAATTTCAGCGGCTAAAGCTCGCCTAGCAACAGACATGATGGTGCATTTAGGAAGCCACGTAAATTATTTAGCTTTGTAAAGCATTGAAGAATATAAATATATATACAAGTAAAAGTAGTATCATCAATAGTATAAATATAGATGAATATTAGCTCTCTGTCATTTGGATTGGCTTTCCTCTCACTGGTTTAGAAATTATCTTAATAAATTCGTAATCAATTGCCGTGTGTCTTTTTACAATTTCTTTTGTGTATTTGAACGCATCTCGGTAACCGAGGGTTGTCCGTATTCACGCTGCGTCTCTGCGGCCATGGCAACACTTTGCCGAACGTTCGACTGCTTAATCATAGAAAACTTCGCCAACAGTCTCTTTTTATGCAGGTATAATTCATACTTTCACTAAAACTGCGTTTTTAAACATACATTCCGCGGTGTGTGTCTGTTGTTTTTGCCGGCATGCTTGGTAAAACTATCTGGGTGGGGAGGGATTGCTTTTGACGGTCAGTTGAGTGTCTGTCTGGCCGCAAGTTAGCAATATGCTAACACCAAGGCGGCTTGAACGCGTACGTGACGTAATTTGTTCCTTAAATTAATGTCTCCTTATTTGTTACATGCTTGCTGTTTGTGGAAAAACTAAAAAATACGGCGTTAACATCATAAAAAATAAATAAATAAGTGTCCCTGTTACCAGCTAGCTTAATTATAGTGTAGCAGGTGTCCTTTAATTGAATTACCTGAACGTAAATTATAAATACATACACTTGATATTCTTATAATTCACAATAATAGTACTAATGAATTATTTCAGGGTAGACTTTTAGATTTATCTGATTTCTCACGCTTTTAATGCTTGTTGGCTCCTCTGCAGGTGTGTTTAAAGCATGAATTTGGCAGAGATCTGTGACAACGCCAAGAAGGGCCGTGAGTATGCTCTGCTGGGGAACTATGACTCCTCTGTGGTGTACTACCAGGGCGTGATTCAGCAGATCCACAGACACGCTCAGTCCCTCAGAGATCCAGCACTGAAGGTCAAATGGCAACAGGTCAGTCAGCCTTCCACTTTATTGTGTTGTGGCAATCTGACATTGCAATAAGTATGGAAACTGAAACATGTAATATGGTTACCTTTTATCTACACATGATTAAGATGATCTTTAACCACAAATGACAATAAATCGGCTTAGTTTCATCGGAATAAAACTAATGACCAAAGTATACATTCACATAAATGTACAAAAATGGAGATTTGCATGAGGATAAGGCAAGGGTGATAAAAGTTGGTGGGGACACTCTAAGGATAGTGGCTGATGGACCTAATGAGCTCAAACATATATTTATTGAATGCTTTCCTATTGTTGAGAACACAAGAGTACCACAATACACTGATATTTATAGACAGATGCCTGCCTATAGTGCTCAAAAGCTGAATAAAAAGACGAATAACAGCCGATATCCGATGCCAACATCAATATATCATCCATCCCTAGTATGGACACAACTTCAGTTCCACCCATGCATCCATGCATGGCTTCCCTTTAAGCTGCATCAGTGATTATCCTCCTTCACAAGCAGCAAAATCAGATTTAGAAATTTGTCTCATATATTATTGACAGCCAATGTCTATATATTGAACCTTATATTTCAAAAGTCATTTACACACTGATTTTTATTATTTGTGCTTGTAGGTCTTGTAGGTTCCTTATATTTTTATTTTAAGTCTGTTTCCTGTGAGTCTGGCTGTCTCTGGGTTGCTGCCACAGCTATTTCTGAGTCTTGTTGAACTACAAAAGACAAAAAGATATGTTGAATTTTATTATAGTATAGCGTAATTTTTCTTGTAAACTTTTGAGACTTGTCATTGCATGTTGCATATCCCAGTAAATCTGTTACACCCTTAAATCTGCTGCTCTCCCTAATTGTGTTTCTGCTCTGCTTAAAAACAGCATTTATGAACCTGTCTATCAGTATAATGATGCCTGAGAAAATAATTTTCAAGATATCTAGAAGCTCTGCAGTCTGATTCTCTGTTCAATAAGAAAACAACAGATATGTGTTAATTTTAATCTGTAACTCTGAGTAATGGTCCTCTCAGAAGCCCAGCTTTTTAAAATTATAGAAATGTACACTCTGTTGCCATTTTTAGCTGAAAAAGCCCCCTATGTGTAATGAAAGGATTTTTTTAGGTGGCATCTCTAATTCTTTTATTCAACCCGTCTCCTAACTTTTACTGAAACGTATATCAAAGTATATGCCGGTTTAAATTGACTGAGTGCTGCTGTGTCTCTCCTCCTCCACATAGCTACTCTGTACGCAGTGAACAGCGACCCCAAATATTATGTCGCAAGGCGACAGATCTGATGATATTTCAAGAGGTGGGCTTATAGAGAAACGGGAGAGTGAGGAAAAATACGGAATCAAAACGCTCTGAACACAGACAGCTGCACCCAACCCCAGTTACTGTTGGCTAAAGTAAATGAGCAGAAAGGGGGGAAAAGCAGAAATTATTGATGGGAATTGTCCCCTCCGTGCCAGAGTTGGTGGGGACATGTCCACACCCATCCTTCAGAAATTTACGACAGTGGGATACGGTCATTTTAATGCGCAAGACGTGCAGAGCTTCTGAGGAGGTGATTTTAGTTTTCTAGTTGCTTTCCACTCTACTCAAGAAGGACACTTTTCAATAAAACAATGTAATATAAAATTATAATGCATATTAAAATGAACTGGCATGCAACATCAAAGGTTTCGAAGGAAATTATGAGTCTTTATTGTACCAACATTTGTGCTGGAATCACCCTTTACTCAATTTTTTTTATTATTTACTTTGTATTTAATCACAAAATAGATATAAATAAAATCTCTGCCTGCTCCAGATGAGATGTCCACATATCAGATGAAACAGAAAAATGAACAGGAGTTAAACAGGAGTTTAACCTTTTATGTAAGGGACTAAAAACCCTGGTCAGTAGGCATATTATAGTTATAATCATTCAACTGATAATAATTCATTAGTTTTATCCTTGATTTGAATTAGGTATTAATTAAAAACGTCCAGTTCTAGCTATTTAAATGTAAAGTGGAGGATGTTCTTTTTCTGAGTGGTTCATCAAAATAAGTGATCCTCCTAATTGTCAATCATTCTAGAGATATCTTTACAAAGGGCTGTCCTGTGTGGTCATCGCGATTTTCACTTACCGGTGGCGAGTCTGAAATGGTGGAAAAATTGCAAATCTTTTGTTTTGGAAACTAAGCTTGAATGAGCGACGCAAGCAGCAACAGAGCATGCACGAGGAGAAATGGGCTCATGCATGCTCTCGCAGATGTTTAATAGGCGTTTTCTCTCGGGAGCGGGTACAGGGTTGTGCATGTGCATTTTTGTTGTTTTAAGTGAAGGGCAGGTCTTTTCAAAAATTCGTGAAAATTTCACAATCTTCTGGTAATCTCTCACAACAGCTGTTATTTGGGAGGGCATTCGTCCAGTTCATCACGTTTCATTTGTTGAAAATAATTCAGACTGGAAGATATTTTAAATACATCCAAAGGTACATGGATCAAGCCAAAAAGTTGATAAGAGGATGTCTTAGTTACAAAATGTTATGCATCAGTCTGATATAAATGTATCTCATGAGATCAGGTTTTCAAGTCAGGTGTTGAATCTGTCAATTAAGCGTAACTTTTTAAAGCATCAGAATGTTATTCCAAACACTGAGCTTTATTAGGGCCAAACACAAGAAGCCCTTATTCTAACTCAAACATCTAATGCTGGTATTTACTCTCCTTCATTCTGTGTGTGAGCAGCTTAGACAAGAACTGACTGAGGAATATGAGCAGGTGAAAGGCATCATGGGAACACTTGAGAGCTTCAAGTCTGAGAAGCCTGTCAACATCCTTGCCCCTCAGCCAGAGGAGAGAACAGAGGATCCAGCCGCTTGGCCCCCACCCATCCCAGCAGAACACAAGTGAGCGATGTTGTAAATAGATGTTTGTTGTTTCTGATAGTCATAGAGATAAAGCATAGTCAGCTTTATCTCTACAGCCAAACTACATTTATGCGTGTAAGTAATATCCTGTCACTTGCATTATCACTGTTTTCCTATCAGAAATGATCTCGCTGGTAATGTTTAACCTTCCATGTCTCTGTTTGTCTCTTGTGTCTTTATAGGAATCCTGCTGTAGTGAAGAGGCCTAACAGTGCGGTGAATAAGCAGAGGAAGGACTCTCCAGGTCTGCAGCACCGAGGAGGAGGAGGGGGACGCGCTCAGGCCAACTCTAAAGGAGACCGGCAGGGAAACAGAGACGGCCGGGCTGCTAAGGCCAAAGATGATAAGGTCAGACAGCTATGTTTCATTCTGCAAGGTAATGGAGGAAAATAATTACAGAAGGAAATATGTTAAGAAAAAAAAACTTTGTAACATCAGGGTAAAAAACTGGAAGCTTGTGATGCAGAACAAAAGAAGTTTGATAGTACTGGATATGACAGCGACTTGGTGGACTCACTGGAGAGGGATATTGTCTCCCGTAATCCTAATGTGCACTGGTAGGGCGGCACACACTGTTTCATGTGGTATTTTTACACATTCTATAATTGGGAAAGTTCTCTATTTCCTCTGATCACTGACCTTTTTCTGTATACTCTAGGGAGGATATTGCTGATTTAGAAGATGCCAAGAAGCTTCTGAGAGAAGCCGTAGTGCTGCCCATGTGGATGCCTGACTTTTTCAAGGGGATTCGTCGACCATGGAAGGTAGATCTACAGTGTTTTGCTAGAACATGGATATATAGAATATATTCCTTTGACTTTTCACACTTTTTATGTTACAACCACAGATTTACTTTTTCCCCCTCTGATTTTTCAAAATAAAAGATTACGATAGACCCAAATAAAATGCAACCAGTTAGCTTTAAGTTCACCCAATGTTAAACAGAATGCAGCTGAGTGCAGTTTGGTTTCAATATAAATGCGGCTCATCTGTAAAATCATCAGATGTTTCTTAGCAGACATCCGTAGAAAAACAGTATCATGAAATCTGATGGACACATAAGACAGGGGAGAGCTGTTAAGCATGGCTTTGCTTATAAAACAAAATCCCAAAGATCTTAGAAACCAAAACCTACTGAGACAATTCACCTAAACGGATTAAGCAAAGAGAATCGAAGGACCTGAGAGGAGTCATTTTGACCCTGGGGGAGCTGCAGATTTGCAGCTCAGATGGAAGAAGCTGAAACTTCTTTACTTTTTACCAATCAACCGATCCAGTTCTAGATAATTAGATAGAGAAAAACCATAAGGAACTCTGCAAAAATGCTAAAAATAGTTATGTAACAGCTAACCATCCTAAAATATGCACTACTTGTTGGTCTATCACATAAAATCTGTGAAACGGTTTAAACGGTATAGATGTATTTGCCAGACAGCATAGCTGAAAGGGATAAGCACACATAGTTCACATTAATACTCATTAATGTGTTTCCATTTTTTTCATTGTTTACGCAAATCTGTAAAACACACGGCTTTTTCCACGGTCATCATCTGCCTCTTACTTTCATCATGTGCTCCCCCCCAGGGCTCTCATTAGAGAGTCAATACTTCACTTCTTTTTTTTTTTAAGAAAACACAGTTCTTATTATTGTTGTACTTTATGCACACATGGGAAACGTTTCACAATGAAAACAAAGCAATGATTATTTCTCTTTGAATGACGAAGTAGGAAGACAAATGTTATAGAAAAATAGAACGTTACATTTGCTTTAACTTTCAGCATTTATGACTACTATGCTGCTAGTTGAATAACATAAATCTGTGGGGCCTTGCATACATACAAACAATACTGATGAGTACAGGTATTTGCTTGCTTTCATGTAATTCATGTTTAGTAATCAGAATCACAATTGTATTTAGTTTTCTTATTTTAGTGCAAAACTAAGTGTAACTTTTTATTTTTATCTATTAAACTTGCTTGTTACTGTGCTTTTAGTTGGCGAGTTTATTTCTGTTGAAAATGTAGAGAAATTTTGTCATTTTGTTAATTTTTTTTGTACCCAAACAATAAATCGGTGGTTCTCGATAGGTGGCCTGTGGTCTTCACCCGGCACACGAGCCACATATTTGTGATAGGACATTACTGCGGCAGCACAAAAGGCACGTTTTTACTTTTAGCTTCAGGGCGGTTTCTCTAATCGACTCTTCCTCAGTGGAAGGAGCCTAGTTTGGAAGAAAAAAATGACTTGGTCAAAATGTGCTGCAAAAGGTGAAGCCAGCTGTGAAAACTCACAATTTGTAGACAAGTAGAAAAATGTGTCCTTCCTCTAGCAGGCACAAGACTGATGGGCTTTTTTCAGCAGGATCCCATAGCTTTGGTAAATGTTTCAAATTTTAAAAGGCATTAGGAGAGCAAGTGTTGGCAGTTCAGAGAGAGATTTTTCTCAAAATTCTGGGTTAAGCCCCTGTCACACCTTGACAATCTAGCCAGTTATGCCTGACGTCCCAGAATCTTCTAAAACGCTGGCATACACTAAACTTTCTACGTATTTTTTCAATTTTGGGCGCATACATAGCGTATTCATAACAAGTCCAGAAGTTATGTCTAACAACTGCCTAACTTATGCATAACGCACAGCAGCGTAATGTCCATAAATAATGCACAAGCCTGTGTCCTGAGGCAGGCAGCAATGCGCCCGGCCTGCATAAAAAGCACTAAGATATTCTACTAAAAGCCATTATATGGTATCTGTAAGTCCGACACACGTTCAGTCGTCGGTTGTCTGTCAGATACGTTGATATATGTTGGAGATAAGTTCAAATAACTTACCTGTAACTTATGCCCCAAGTATGAGCATACGATGGCATATGACGCCTTTGCTATATGTCGACATGTCCCAGCGTGCTTCAGTGTACTTAGCTTGCTCATAACTTAATCAGAACTGACCCATAACTTATCCAATCGCAGCGCAGCATTTCTAACTGAATGAACCAATCAGCGTTTTTGCACAGCAGGTGTACGCTGGCTAAATTGTCAAGGTGTAACACAGGCTCTAGGAACAAAGAAAAAATGCGTCTGAAAGCTGGATTCCTGTTAGATCTATAACACAGCAGAACACAAGAGGGACACGGACTGTAGAGTAGTTTCCTTTCTTAATTGTTCCTTTTTGTTTCATCTTTTGTCAGTCTGTGTTTTAGCACTGTCTGGTTAGCCAAAGACAATTTTCCAACTTGGTGGACATAAAGATCTATTCTATTCTATTCTATTATTTTCTTTTCTATTCTATTCTATTATTGTATTTTCTGTTCTATTCAGGGAAGGGGTCACATTTTGGATTTGATACTTAAATGTATAATTGTTAATTTGCCATCAAATATTCAGCAAATTAATCGATACCAATAAAAAAAACCCAGCATAGTTTCACATGCAGTATTATCATATTTACAGACCATTTCCTTTAAATTGCATATTGAGGAGAACTAAGAGAACACAGCAAGCTTTGTATCATTATTTTATTTTTCAAATCTTTGTTCTGACCCAACTTTAATAGTTTTGGCCCATTTAGCAAAAGGTTTTGATCCCACCTCTTTAGATAGATCATACTAGCTTGGAGATCTTTTGTTTGTTTTACCGATCAGTGTGGAACAGTCTATCTGATGCTTTCCTTTTTACATCTTTTCCTCCTCAGGGTGTCCTGATGGTCGGCCCACCAGGAACAGGAAAGACAATGTTGGCCAAAGCTGTGGCTACAGAGTGTGGGACTACTTTCTTCAATGTGTCCTCCTCCACCCTCACCTCCAAATACAGGGGCGAGTCGGAGAAACTTGTCCGTCTGCTGTTTGAAATGGTGGCTGTTTCCTCAGACTTTTCCCCTGACAAAGATGTTGAATGTTTCCACGTATTGTTTATCTGCATTAGAAAATAACCCTTTTTTTTTTTTTTTTAAGGCCAGATTTTACGCTCCCACAACCATCTTCATAGATGAAATTGACTCCATCTGTGGCAGAAGAGGGACGTCCGATGAACATGAAGCCAGCCGGCGCGTCAAATCAGAACTTCTGATTCAGATGGATGGTTAGTGGCTCACAGGTGGCGAAAGGGATTAAACTACTACTGCTGATGCTTTCCTTTGTTTTATTGTAGTTCTGTGTTTTTCTCAGGTGTCGGTGGGGCCTTGGAGAACGATGACCCGTCTAAAATGGTGATGGTGCTGGCTGCCACTAACTTCCCCTGGGACATTGATGAGGCGTTGAGGCGACGGCTGGAGAAGAGGATCTACATCCCCCTGCCCACAGGTGACCTTTCAACTGCTGCCCAATTTGTTTCACACAAGATTTATCCTGCGGGCTTGTGCTTCAATTATGTTGATCCATTCCTCATAAAGCATCCCCCCCGATGTCTAATTTATGTAGCCGTAGGCCGTGCGGAGCTTTTAAAGATCAACCTGAGGGAGGTGGAGCTGGCTCCTGATGTGGACCTGGACCTCATAGCTGAAAAAATCGAGGGATACTCCGGAGCAGACATAACCAATGTCTGCAGGTTTGTGTGCCATGAACAGATGGTGCAATTCAATGTCTTTCTATTACTTCCTCAATTCTTTTCCTTCTTTATACAATACACAATACATTGCAGAATTTATTGACATGGAAATCTGATGGTTGTGCACTCTACGAAGCTTTATCTTAAAGAGGGCTTGCTTGAGTGGCGCAGTGGTTAGCGAGCACGACCCATCTACTGAGGCCTTAGTCCTCAACTTGGTCGATCCAGGAGACGCAGCAAACAAAGCGCTCTGCTCAGATGGAACCAAAATATCATGTGTAGAAAAACTATTGGGAAGTCTTATTCTATGCTTTTTGCTTTTACAATGTAATATTATGTGAATACTTTTAGATTTTCTCTTGGCCTGTGATTTAGTTTTTGTGGAATATTCAGGAACTTCTATGTTCTCAGTTTATTTCACCTTGAAACGGTCTTGTCCTGTAGGTCGTAATTCTCAGTTGAGAAGTGGTTTTAAACTCTTAAACCTGAATGTAACAGTCTTCTCTCCTGTATCTGCATCAGAGATGCATCCATGATGGCCATGCGTCGCCGAATCCAAGGCCTGAGCCCTGAGGAGATCCGAGCCCTTTCTAAAGATGAGCTCCAGATGCCCGTCACTATGGAGGACTTCACTCTGACTCTAAAGAAGATCTCAAAATCCGTCTCAGCTGCTGACCTGGAAAAATATGAAGCCTGGATGGCTGAGTTTGGCTCAGTGTAGAAAAAGGATGCAAACTCACACTGTTGGACCAGAGGGTTGAAAGAAAAGTTTCCAACTTTAAAGTGTGAAGGCTTTGAAGAGGAAGACAACTCCAACACTGGCGCCAGTGAGCGCATCAGTGACAATGGAGTTCACTTCAGAAGGCTGACATCTTTGACCAGGCATCATAAGAACGTTTAAAAAAGCTGCTCTTTTATATTTTTCTTTTTACTCTATAATTATAGACGAATACATCCAACGTCTTACTTCTTAGTGTATATCAGTGATGCTTGTATTATTTAGCTGATCAATTTGGAGTCAGCAATTATCATTTAATAGTCAAAAAGGATGGAAAACTGTATTTTTTTCCCAAACATTCTTGTTTGGCTCCGTTTCTGTGCAGCTCTCATTCAAAAGGAAAGAAAATAAAATCTCTATGCCACAAATAATCAGGCCTTTCTGCTGATGCCTAACAATACCAGAAACCTAGAGTTGTAATCAAAGTAAAAAGAAAAGACACAAGAACAAATCAGGCCATGTCATTTTAACACAAACGGAAACGTCTTCCAATTAATCACAATCATCACAAGGCCTGCAGAAAAGTGTTCAGCTTTCCATTTACAAGATGTTTTAGGAAGATTTTATTTTATCATAATTTAATATTGTTTTAAGAGTGAAGTATTGTTTTAAACACTGTTACTTAAAATTTCTTAAATCTTTTTTATATGAAGCTTGTCTTACGGAAACACATTTCAGCACTTTAAATGTATTTTCATAAAACCTTCAGGTCTTTACCACTAACTGAATGTTAATAATTTAGTGATATGTTTGCTTTGTTGTGACTTATTTTGTTTTTTGTGCATTTTTATATTTGTTGTTATGACAAATGTGTTAAGAGCGACTGAATGTGTGTGCTGACGTGCAGCTTTACTTTTTCTCCAAAATAAAGTTAATTATTTGTTCTTAAAGGTATTGTGGAAGAATTTTTGCGAATGTTTTCAAAGACCTGCCCTCTCCACTTTAAAAAAAGAAAAATGAGCATGCGAGAGCATGCAAGAGCCCATTTCTTCTCGTGCACGCTCTGTTTAAAAGTTGCTGTTCTCATTGCTCATACAAGCTTTCGAACGTCCACCCTAACTCCTTAATCCCTCAATCACTATTTAGATATAGGGCTATATAGTAGACTTTAAGCATTCCAAAGCACTCTGGGATATATCTGCCTCTTCTGAGGCCTTATCTTATATCTTCGTAAAGGCTTTTTCTCTTATGGCCCTGTGTGTTGAACAAAATCCTTCACTGAAATACATTTAAGAATAACTTAGTTTCCTATATCAATTGCTCTTAATTTGAGCAGGTACATACAATGATCTGCCAACTGAATTAGTATGTTTCTCCTTAAAACAGATATAATAATAGATTATGAACTAAGGTAATTGGGTCTTTTTTTAATTTTAAATCTCATTCCATTGGCAAACTATCATACTTACCTGCTCAAATTAAGTAAAAGTACACTTATTTCAAGAAAAATACACTTAAACTTCAATTTTTTGTAGTGTTTGCATGTGTTCTATAGCTCTGCAGTTCCAAATGCAAAAAACCTCACACAGAAATGCTTTTCTATTAAAGACTGATTTAAACCTACATCTCATTTTTAGACAAAAACATTGTGGTTTAAGCTTTTTATTTTTACATGCTTTCAAAAATTGGGCCTTTTCGCTCAAATTATATCTGCCCTCCAATAACACCTGCCTGTTTGCTTAAATCAGTTGAGTTGAATAGTTCCAGACTTTGTTAAGACTGTTAATGAAAATTTCAAGAATTTCCTTATCTTTTAAAACTTGTTCCTTGGAGCCTGCTTCAGCACATGGCTGCTTGTTGTCTTGCATCATTTCTACTGATCTGTGTAATTTTCTTCTGTTAAAAAACATGTGTATCTATTATATTTAAGAAGTAATAAATCTACACAAATATATGCAGTAGTTATTTTAGAAATCCAAAAGGGAGGCATATCCAGATATTTGCCTGGTATAGTGCGTTTTGTGATGTGTGTGTTTTTTTTTTTTAACATACTGGATAAGAAAAGAAAAATAAACAGATGTCTAGGAGGTATTTGGCTTGGATACATACTTTTTTTATAGCAGGACTAAAAATGCCTTTGTTTTAGGGAAGTCTTGCAATGAAAGTCTGACCACATGGGGCAGCAAACAAGAATTTACTGTTTAATTTTGCACTACTATTCAAGTGTAAATTTAATTTCTCTAACAATATAAACATTTTCTATGCATAAACTTTAATCGTATTAATTCCTCTTTATTACTAATGGTTTTATAGAATATCATTTGTAATATTATCATTCCTGGATTTAATAAAGGGGTGAAGGAATGCTGTAGGAGAAAAGTTAAGTCAAGATAAATTTCGCCATCACCTCAAGAGATTGCACAAAGCAGCGACAGAAATAGCCTTATTTAACTAAACATCCGCTGAGATAAAAATTACATTTCAGTTTTAGAGATGTGAAGCTGGGCTATAGCACAGTCTTGGGCACTGATGAATGGTATCAGTGTATAAAATGAAGAGAAATAAGAATCGAGGTCAGAAAACCAGCCCATTTAAACAAGCTCCACAAGCTTTCTATTTAAATTTGTAAGAATAAGATTTTCAAGATTTTAAAAAGTCACAGGACATTCAAATCTGGAGACACACTTAATATCCTTAGAAATTACTGAATCTGTAAAAGGATCATTCCTTCTTGGACATGAACAATGGAAGTTCATCAATAAATGTTTCAGGGTCACTAATAGATCAGACTAGGTGACTGTGAGGAAATTTAGATGATGATAGTAAGACTAGTCCATTTACAACAACAAAGTAAATGGTTTCCATACCCAGTTTATTTTTTCTTACAAATATGAATGATCAAATATTGCACAGTAAAAAAACAATCAGAAAAAAAAACATAAAAAGTAAAAATATGAGATACTTTGAAGAAAAATAGTTTCCCCTACTTCAGAGTGATACATGATCATCAGTCTTTGTTGTTTTCAACCATTTCCTCATTTTGCATGCAGAGAAAATCTTTGCTCAACAACAACAAAGTCTAGAACACAAAGTTTCACTCATTTCTCCTTCAGGGAACATTTGGCAAAATTTTAGAGATCTTAAAGGCAGAACACACAACTTTTCAGAATAATCCAAAGACAGAAAAAAAAACCCTGGTCCTTCAGAAGGCTATGCACACATAATGCTGGTGTTAACGTCCCGGAGCAGAACAAGAACAATCTGTGGCTCGATGGCATTTTACGAAAGTCCATTTTCATCAGTCCACTGGACATCGATGCTGTCCTCACAGCTGTTTGGAGATCTGCAGGGTTTATACTCTTTTACAGCAAAATTAAGCTGGAGGAGCAGCTTGGCGAATTAAGCAGAAATCCTTTCTGCCACAGTCAGTTCAGTTTGGCACTAATGCGTATCCACTGAAGAGCCTGCCTGGTGTATTGGACAGCATGAGCAATGCTACTGTGCAGAGTCAATGGCCCAGATAAAGTATTCAAGTAGTTGAAGAATTCTGTAGAGAAAAAGATAAACAGAGACACTAAAACCTTTCGATATTTTACATGTGTGTTAAATGAGGTATATAAGCATAAATACAGATCCTTACGACAATATTGACAGCACTTGAACCTTTTTTCTATATTGCCATGACATTACCAATTTCAATAGGTTTTATTGGGATATTATTTCACAGACTAGCATTAAATAGCAGATAACAGTGAGACGCAAATACGCGTAATTTTCAAAAGCATTTTATATCTGATCATCTGAGAGTGCAATTACAGAGACATGCAGGAGGATGTCTCCACCAGCTTAGCACATTTAGAGGCTGTAATGTTCACCCATTCTTCACAAAATAGCTCAGTCAGTTAAAAAAATGTATGATGATTTTTTCACTTTGTGATTTTCTAAGGTGGAACTGTATATTTTCTACCTTTATTCTCCATTGCAAGGTTGTCTGCCACTTCCCAGTACTCATAGCTGTACAGGACACTGTTGGTGATGTTCAGGTGGTTTGCTGCCATCTGGTGGATACGTTGGGGGATGCTTATAAGAGATGCAGTGCTGCTGCCTGCAGTTGAACCCCGTCTGTGGTGTTTTGCAGGGGGTGATTGTGAGGACAAGAGTCCTGTTGTAGCCCTGGGAGTGAGAAGAGACCAACAGTCGGGGAATTTCAATCAGTATAATTTCAGAGGCTGAAATAAAGGAGCCAAGAGGAATAAACTTAGAAGACTAGTTATTATCCACTCACTTCCCAGAGTCCATCCATCCAGGTGGCGTTGTAGGCACTTTGGGAGAACTCTATATAACATCAAAAACAAAACTTAGAAATCCACCCTCTACAAAAGTTATATCATTCTACCAAGTTTAGTGACTTTGTGTCATTGGATATACCTTGAAATAGTCTAGCAGCACTTTGGAGTACTTTAGTGCATGATCTTTTTTTAAGCGGAACATCTGCCAGTAAAGGAGGGCAAGGCATCGAAAGCTGTAAACACAGACAGACCGCAGGAACCGTTCTCAAAAGGCATGTTACTTGTTACAGTCACAGATGTGGTATTAAAGAGAAGATGACAAGCGCACCACAAGACAGCCAGCTGTTTGTCTTCCTGTCTTGCTCCAGGGCCAGAGTGACTCTTTAGCCTCATAGCGTACCTTAAAACACATAGTTTGTATTTATTTATATTTTTGTACCTCAAAAATTTCAACCAACACCTGTTTTCAGACTGTTAGCCAAATCAACTCACCTGATCAACTCCACTGTCTCGGAATACATGGTGAAAGGAGACTTTGCCTCAAGTGGCCCTTCCTCCATCGCCTTCCCACATTCCATAAAGGAAAGAGCGGCATCAATGTAGTTGACTGCTTTTCCCAACTTGTCCACCTAAAAACAGCATTAAAAAAAAACACAAAAAAGGATAATGAGGTAATTTTCAAGGGATATGAATTAAGCCTGCTTATATTAAAGCTGCAGTAGGGAGTTTTGAGTTTCTAGCCCTCGCTCCAAAGCTCCTTCCCCGAAGTGGAGCCTGCTATCAACAGCATAGGCTGGTAGGCAAGGCTACCAGTGACAGCTGATAAACGGCTATGGCACAATCACTGGTAGGGGACAAACATTAATAATATGTTTTAAATTGATGCATAGCTGCAGCGCATCACCAATCTTGAGCTTGAAGGACAGTATGCGCTGTCCAGGGGCAGGGTGTCAGCAGAGCATGCATGATTGACACGGCTAATACATTTCCTAGGGCTCTGATTGGTCGAGTATTTCTACAAAAAGCAGTAAAGATAAGAGCCCTGTGGGGAGGCAAAGGATCTTTTTTTTTTCCCATAGATAATCTCTCATAGATTATCTTTCATATGTTACCATTTGTGACAAATTCCGCTAATATGTAAAACATGCATTTTTTTAAATAGTTTTATAGCTACCTACTTCAACTTTGAAAGGTTGCAAATTTTAAGGTTTTTCTTACTTTGTAAGTTGTTTTTTAAAACAAGAAAAAACAAAATTTATCAAAATAAAAGCCTTGCAGCACGTAGAAATAAATCAACCGATGTCATCATGAAAGATTGTCCAATTTCATGTTTTTAAAACATGGTTTTGTCAAAACGTCTTTAAGTTCCAGACTATACACCATGTTAGTTAGATAATCCATAAATTCTCCCACAATAATAGAGATCTAAAATGCAAAAAATCTGTTTCTTAATGACCCAGCGATTGTCATGAGGACCCCTTTTGTTATTTAAAGTGAAGATGTGTTGTTATGGTTAAGCACTGCTGCTTTGATTCCATAATGAGCTCAACCAACACACTTTTATGGGATTATAAAGTAATAAAACAAAAATATTTGTATGTTTCTGGATATTGCATTACAAGTTTTGTATTTGCTGCAATATCAGTTTGAAACTGATATTGCAGC